CGAGTGCATGCCATGAATCATCACCACCTTCATATTCTAGCTGCGTAACATCATGAAGAGCAACCGAAGGTCTCGCCGTCGGAATGCGTAAGCTAGCACCGTGAGCACCCGACGCGCATCGAAACACTGACCGCACAAGCAACAGCCACAATGCTCGAATCATCCATCACGGTGTAGCCTGCAGCAAATGCACAACCTCCTTGTAGGCCCTCTGGCGAGCCAATTAGAAGGGCGACACAGAGATGCCCGCGCTATTGCTCAGAGCGATGGCGGTGCTGAGGAGCAGCAGCAGAAGTGAAACGAGGATGAGCAAGTATACACCCCTAGGGATCGTTTCCCTTTGTCCGCTCATTCCTGCATCCCCTGCCTACGCTACATCGGCTTGTTGGGGACTCCACTGGAGACCGACGAAATCGAACGCAAGCTTTTTTAACGACGTGGCGATGCCCGCGCGCCCCCAATTTCACTGTTGCCGCCGAAACAGGCGACCGCATTTTTTGGATGCCCCCGCGGGCCGCGCTGCGCGCGCCCGCCGACGTTGAAACTCGGCGGCGAGGGGGGCTGGCACAAAACACTTTGCGTCGGATCCAAAGCGGGTTTGTGCGGCTCCGGGCATGGGGCTCCCGGCGTCGGGCGCCTGGCTCGGGCCCTGCGCCTCGGGGCGCTCGGCCGCGAGGGCGCGGGCGCGGCTTCGGCGCCCGCGCGGCGGAGCGGGGGCTCCGCCTGCGCCGCGGGCCAGCCTGCCGATCTCCCCCGCCGCCGCTCTCTCTCGCTCCCCCCCCCCCCGCAGCCACCAGAGCCGCCAGTTTCGTTCGCAGCTGCGGAGCCGACCGAAACGACGGCGAGCGCTCCGAGCTGCTGATCGCCCCGCCAGAGCACTCAACCCCTCGAGGCCCCCGCCGCCCTGCGCCGTGCTGCTCTTCCGAGGCCTCGCCGCGCTTGCCGCCCCCGTCTGCCGACCGCTTGCGAGCGTTTAGGAAACATGCGAGCGTGAAAAGGGCAGCGCAGGACGTCGCCACCAAGGTGCACGAAGCCCCGTTCGGCGCGCAGGTGGCCTTTGGAATGTCATGGGTCACGCTTGTGGTGCGATGGGGCGCAGCCGCCTCGGGGCTACATTGTCAGGCCCCTGAGCAATATTATAATCGCCGAACGGGGTAGGAATCGGGAAACGTCACCAGGGTGCAATGTTCCATGCGCGGGGGTACCTCTGCATGTTTACCTCGGCCTGGCAGTTTTCAGATCGGACTTGAAAATCACCCTCCAGTGCCCTTCCTCCATTGTTAGTTTGGCGCAGAAGGCCTGGTCAGGTCGACCTGAACATCTTGACACGCAGACCAGGTTCTTATTGGACACCCGCTGCCACCGTGCTATGTACGTGCAAGAAGCTCCACCGTCGCTGCCGTGGAGTTGGCTGAGACGGATTCGCGACAATTTTCGTAGACGCGATGTATCGGGCCCGTATTTTCAGCATTTAACATTTTCGGTCGCGCGCGCACGGTCCACGACGCCGCGAGCGCGATCATGTCGGCGGTCGCCGCGACAGCGGCCATTTTTGAAAGCGGGGGCTGTAGCGCCTCCCCTTCCCATTGCCCTCCTCGCGACTGGCGCGGACCAGTGCGGCGGCCATGTGCGCCGTGCGCAAACCCCCGCGCGCCTACCCCGTTTCTCCGGTGGCTCGCGCGCGCGCGCGCCCCCCGTTTTCCTCCCGCGTCTTTATCCTGCGCCCCCACTCTCTCGTCCCTCTACCCCACCTGTCGATCCAGCCCCGCCCCAGTTACTATTTCTAGCCTGCCGCGACAAGCCGCACGCATAGTGCGCGCGGGCGTGCTCGTGCGCGGGGGCTGCGGTCTCGCTATGCACTTGCTGGGTTGACGTGGCCCCGTCCATTCTGTTCGCGTCTCAAGGGCTCTGTACGGCCAACATGGGGTCACATAGCCCCTCTAGGTCACTGGGCCAACACGGGGTTACACCAGCACCGTGGGGCTTCCGAGGGCTCCCCCCGAGTGCTCCCGAGAGGGGTCACGCAGTATGCCCGCCAACACGGATGTGTGACCGCCGCAAGTTGACAACGCCGCAAAATGGACGCAGCCACATGCGTGCATCTACGCATCCCTGAACGGGGCCCCGCGCGGGCCATAGGCAGAACCTCCTCGCGGGTTCGATCTCCGTGCGCCGAGGTGGGACGCCGGCGGCGGCGGGGCGCGCACGGATTCCCGGACTGGGGCAGCGCGTGGGGTCCCATACGGGGCGCGATGCGTGTGAGGGGCGTGCCGAAACTCGGAGCCGTCTGGGGTCTGAGGAGGCCCAGCAATTGTCGCGGCCAGCAGGAAGGGCGGGCAGATTCGATGTCCTGGGCTCAGGGGTTTTCTTGCTTTTCCAAACCATCCTGTGGTGTTGGGTCCTCGATTTGAAGAGACAGCGCCCCGCGTTCCTCACTCCTTCCTCCTCCCCCTCCTTCTTCCTCTTCCCTCCTCCTTCCTCCCAGTGTTTCACCCACCCAGTACAGCGTTTCGTGGCCCCATAAGGAGCTCCACCGAAGACCCCAGTGGCAGGGTTCGCATGGCGGCCCCGCCCCATTTAGGCGCACCCCTCACACGGTTCGTGGCCCCATGGGGAGTTCCACCGAAGGCCCCGGTGGCAGGGTTCGCATGGCAGCCCCGCCCCATTTTGCCGCACCCCTCACACGGTTCGCGGCCCCATAGGGAGCTCCAGCGGGCCCCAGTGGCAGGGTTCGCATGGCGGCCCCGCCCCATTTTGGCGCACCCCTGACACGGTTCGTGGCCCCATAGGGAGCTCCACCGAAGACCCCGGTGGCAGGGTTCGCACGGCGGCCCCGCTCCATTTTGGCGCCCCTCTCACACGGTTCGTGGCCCCACAGGGAGCTCCACCGAAGGCCCCAGTGGCAGGGTTCGCATGGCGGCCGCGCGCCATTTTGGCGCACCCCTCACACGGCTCGTGGCCCCATAGGGAGCTCCACCGAAGGCCCCAGTCGCAGGGTTCGCACGGCGACCCAGCCCCATTGTTGCGCATCCCTCACACGGCTCGTGGCCCCATAGGGAGCTCCACCGAAGACCCCGGTGGCAGGGTTCGCATGGCGGCCCCGCCCCATTTTGCCGCACCCCTCACACGGTTCGTGGCCCCATAGGGAGCTCCAGCGAAGACCCCAGTGGCAGGGTTCGCATGGCGGCCCCGCCCCATTTTGGCGCACCCCTGACACGGTTCGTGGCCCCATAAGGGGGCTCCACAGAAGGCCCCAGTGGCAGTGTTCGCATGGCGGCCCCGCGCCATTCTGGCGCACTCCTCACACGGTTCGTGGCCCCATTGGGAATTCCCCTTGCTTCGTCCCACCTGCCCTGCGTTTCTCACACTTGCGCATGATTGGGTCCTTCGCCAGGATTTTTTTTTGTTCTCCCGTTTTTCGATGTTTTTTCTGCCTCCAGTGGCAGTTTTCGGGCCCCGGGACCGTGAGAAATGGATCCGGGGTAAAACAATTGCATCTGCCCAGCAGGGGTCTGAGGACCCCATGTTGAGCGGATGTGGCTTCGTCCCTCCCACCTGACCGACCTTCTGGTGTCCCAACCAGTCCGGGCCCCCCTGGCCGCCTCCAGGCCGAAACGGAGAGGGGGGTCTGAGGGCTTGTCGACTTTTCGCCAATCGACTCGTGGGGATCGAGCCAGATAAGTCCAGGTAGATGCAGACAAATCGAGGTAAATCCAGGTAAATCGAGAGAAATCCGGGTAAATACCGGTAAATCCAGGGATCTCCAGGGACAGTTTGAGCAATTCGCGGCCGCTCCGGTGCGAGTCGAAGGACGGCAGAAGTCGTTGAGCCTTTAACGAGGGGGGGAGGGGGGGCCGCGCGCGCCCGACGGTGGCCTCCGGCGCCGCTCGCTGCGGGTGCAGCGGCCGGCCGTCTCTCGGAAATCTCCCTGGTGGTGGTTTCGGCGTGGGTGGTTTTCAGATGATAATGACGATGATGCTGACGATGATGCTGATGATGATGACGATGATGATGATGATGATGCTGATGGTGATGACGATGATGATGATGATGATGATGATGATGATGATGATGATGATGATGATGATGATGATGATGATGATGACGATGATGATGATGATGATGATGATGATGATGATGATGATGATGATGATGATGATGATGAGGATGAGGATGATGATGATGATGATGATGATGACGATGATGATGATGCTGCTGATGATGATGATGATGATGACATCGAGCATATGTGTGGCCGAGGATGCGGAGACCGAGGGCTGAGGATGTGGAGGCCAGGGGAACAAGCGGGAGCAGAAGGAGGGTTAGGAGGAGGGGGAGGCACAGGAGGAAGAGGATAATGGCTAGGCTGAACTGATGATGATATCAAGCATCTGTGTGGTCGTGTAGAGATTGCAGTCGGTGGTTGGAGTTGCTTCAGTACCCTTGCCCGAAAACACAACTGCACAAGGAGCGGAACGGGAACGCTGAGAGGTGGTGCTGCGGCCAGCAGCGGTGCCAGTAGATGCAGATGATTTTCTGACGTCAGTTGGCTTGCCGTAGGGCACGTTGTTGACGAACGAAACAACGCGCGCCCATACCCATATGGGGGGTCGTTCGGCGGAGGAATGGCTCTCTGTATGGGTGCGGGTTGTCGGAACCCAGGGGGCGCTCCCGTTTCCGGCTATGGGTGTGTGTGCTGCTCGTTCGTCAGTACTAATGCCACGATGGCTTGAGGTCCATCGTATGCTGCTGCAGATCTCGCGACATGTTTGGCCGCGGATGTCTTTCTTCCTCCCCGCGGCCGCCCTCGTCCTACCCGCCGTCTCTCCTCTCTGAGGTGTCTGTCTGCTATCTCGCATCCCGACCTCGCCCCTCCCCCCCCGCGCAGTGTGCTCGCAGGCGCCGCGGCACCACGTATTTCTTGGCTTACCTTGTTGCCCAGATTGATGTACCGATTTCCTAGCACCACTACCACAGGTAGGGGAGGAGGATGAGGAGGAGGAGCAGGAGGAGGAGGAGGAGGAGGAGCTCCCCATCCTTCCTTACTTCTTCCCCGTCCTACCTATGATAGTGGTGGTGGAAAGTCCATCACAGATGATTCTGGGACCATCGGCATCATGCCGCATGCAGCGGCCAGCATCACCACCGTCCGCCTCTGCTTCTTGCTCAGCGCGGTGCGGCCCTCGATGTTCCGCCGATTTGCAGGAGGAGCTGGGGGAGGAGCAGGGGTTAGGATGACGGCCAATCGGGTGATGTCGATACTGCTGAGTGATGATGCTACTGATGATGAGGTGGCCTGATTGTTTACCCAGTATGCCATGTGCTAGACCGCACTCGGCAGCACGGTGCCGAGGCGTCGAGCGGGGGCTCGCCCCCATCACGACCAGCTTCGGCTCCTTCGGTGTCTCGGTCACCCTGCAGGAGATAGAAGTCTTCTTGAAGGATGGCGGGCGGCGGGGGTCGGCGATCGCCGATGACGTCTGCGCCTAAGTGAAATTTTGTCTGGAGCTGGCCGGGGGTGTGGGGTGGGGGAGGAAGGGATGTGAGGAGGGCGGGAGGGGCATATGAGTGGTAGAGGTGGACCAAGACAGGGGGACTGGGGAGGAAATAGGACAGAGGAGGTCGGAGGGAAGGGGAGTGCTTCCACGACTCAAGCAGGTGGTGTAGGTGCAAGTCTGCTGATCGTGATGTTGCTGCTTTTGATGAGGATGACGGTGTGGATGATGATGAGGATCAGGATGATGATGACGATGATGCTGCTGCTGGTGAGGATGCCGCTGCAGCTCATGACGATGTTGATGTGGATGAGGATGAGGATGAGGATAATGGTGATCATGACGATGATGATGACGACGACGATGCTGATGATGCTGAAAGCTGACGATCATGATGCTGCTGATGATGATGTTGATGATGTTCTGAATGACGATGAGGTTACTGATGATGTCGCTGAGGATAATGATGAGGATGATGCTGGCGTGGGTGAGGATGCCGATGAGGATGAGGATGAGGATTCTGATGATGATGACGACGATGCTGATCATGATGATGATGCTGCTGATGATGATGATGATGACGAGGAGGATCACGATGATGACGGGGATGATAACGATGCTGTTTCTGATGATGATATTGCTGCTGCTTCTGAGGATGGGCATGTGGATGATGCTGAGGATCATGATGATGAGGATGATGATGCGGACCATGATGATGTTGCTGATGGTGATGATGTTGCTGCTGCTGCTGCGGTTGATGATGATGGCGATGATGCTTGTGTTGCTGATGATGTTGCTGATGAGAACGAGGAGGCGGATGAGGGTGTGGATGAGGATGATGATGGGGATCATGATGTTGATGATGCTGCTGGTGATGGTGATGATGCTACTGCTGCTTCTGCTGCCGATGATGATACATGCTTTCGATGTGGATGTGGACGGGGATGGGGATGATGATGCTGATTATAGTGATGCTGCTGCTGATGATGATGATGCTGATAATGATGATGATGATGTAGATTACGATGCTGCTGATTGTCAGGATGACGATGATGATGCTGCTGATGATGATTATGAAGATTCTGATACTGACGATGACGACAGAAATGGTGACGATGCCGATGGGGACGATGCTGCTGCAGATGCTGCTGCTGACGATGATTATGCTGATGAGGATGACGATGCGGAGGATGATGGTGATGATGACGATGCGGATCACGATGATGACGCTGGTTGAGGTGCTGATGGTGTTGCTGCTGCTGGTAACGATGTCGATGATTCTGCTGCGGATGATAAAGATGATATGATGCCGATGATGCTTCAGATGATGTGCTGATGCTGATGCTGATGCTGATGAGGATGCTGCTGCTGCTGCATATGATGATACTGATCAGGATGAGGAGCTGGATGCTGATAATCATGATGCTGCTGATGATGGTGATGAGGATGAAGATGATGCTGATGATGGTGATTATGATGATGATGATGACGGCGATGATGATGCTGCAGATTATGACGATGACGATGATGATGATGATGATGGCGATGGTGCGGTTGCTGAAGATGCTGTTGCTGTTGCTGATGAGGCTGACGAGGTGGATGATGCGGAGGTGGACGAGGACGGTGATGCTGAGGAGGATCTGAGCGATGCCGACGGTGACCACGACCATCATTTTGCAACTGATGCTGATGATGCTGCTGTTGACTATGATGATACTGATTGGGATAACAATGGGGAGGATCATGAGGATGAGTATGGTGATGAGAACGACGATGATGATAGTGATGCTGATGATGACGACCATGATAATGATGATGATGATGATTATCAGATAATGTTGTTGATGATGGTGATGATGCTGATGTTCTTGATGATGATGATGCTATTGATGATGAGGTCGCTGCTGCTGATGATGATGATGCTGCTGATGAGGATGCGGATGCGAATGCTGAGGATGATGATGCTGCTGATGCCGATGCTGATGCTGATGAGGATGAGAATGATGATGATAATTTGGATGATGATGAGGGTGGTGATGCTGAAGATGACGATGATGATGGTGATGATGGTGTTGCTGCTGCTGATGATGATAGGGTGCTGCTGCTTATGATGATACGGTGGCTGACCATGATGATGCAGATTGCATGAGGATGTGAACGACGCTGATGATCGGAATGATGATGGGAACGGTAATGATGATGACGATGGTGATGATGGTGATCATGATGTTGATCAGGACGATGCTGCTGCTGATGATGATGATGCCAAGGATGCTGCTCATGCTGATGCTTCTGCTGAGGAGGATGCTGATGGGAATGTGGATGAGAGTGGGGATGAGGATGTGGATGTGGACGATGATCCGGATCACGGTGAGGATAACGACCCGATGACAAGTTTGCTGCTGCTGATGATGAGGATGCTGCTGCTGAGGATGAGAAGGTGGATGAGGAGAAGGGTATGGAGGAGGATGGGGATGGAGATCATGATGGTGATGGTGGTAATGCTGATGATGAGGATCAGGATGGCGATGACGATAATGATGACTATGATGTTGCTGCTGATGATGTCGACTATGCTGCTGTTGACGATGCTGATGAGGTTGAGGATGCCAGGATGAGGACGGGGATGCTGAAGACGATGATTCTGATAATCAGGATCATGACGAACATGGTGATGCTGACGACGACGATGCTGATGATGGTGATGTTGCTGCTGATGATACTGCTGCTGATAATGGTACTGATGAGGATGGTGCTGTAGATGAGGATGAGGCTGCGGATCATGATGAGGATGCTGCTGATGATGATGATGATGATGATGATGATGATGGTGATGATCACGGTGATGGTGCTGATGCGGATTCTGCTTCTGATGGTCATGATTTTGCTGTTGATTTGGACTATCAGCTGAAGGAGGATGAGGATGAGGATGATGATGAGGATCACAATGATGAGGCTGACGAGGATTATGCTGATGATGATGCTGCTGATGCTGCTGCTGTTGCTGCTGATGATGTTAATGTTAACGGAACCGAGGAGGTATATGAGGATATGGATGGGGATGGGGATGCTTATGTTAATGGTAAGGATGATTGTGCTGCTGCTGATGATGTTGCTGCTGATGATTATGATACTGCGGATGCGGATTTGGATATGGATGATAATGATGATGATGAGGATACTGATCAGTATCAGGATGCAGATGATGACACTGGTACTAGTGATGGTGATGTTGCTGCTGCTGATGATGCTGATGCTGATGCTGATGCTGATGCTGGTGCTGCTGCGGATGAGGATGTGGAGGATGCGCATGAGGATGAGGATACTGATGCTGCTGGTGATGATGATGGTGTTAATCGGGATGTCTTTGCTGATGAGATGGTGAGCATGATGGGCAAGATCATGCTGCTGCCCAAGGAGATGATGCTCCTATTGTTGCTGATGCTGATACTGCTGAGGCACAATTAGGGTAATGGGGATTGCAGTGATCATGATAACAATGCTAAGAATGTGAACGAGGCTGGCACTGTGGACGAGGATGATGGTGCTAAGTATGATGATGAACACACTGATGACGGTCAGGATGCTGATGATGATGATGATGACGCCGAGCATGTTGATGGTGCTGCTGATGGTGCGGATGCTGCTGGTGAGATTGCTCTGGAGGATGAGAATGTGGATGAGGTTGAGGGTGAAAATTGTGATGATGACGAATAGTAGAATGATGCTGATGATGCTGATGATGATAATGATGATGATGATGCTGATGATGATGAGGATGATTGTGCTGTTGCTGATGGTGATGATGAGGTTTCACGATGGGGACGATGATGATGATGGTGCGACTGATGATTCCGCTGCATACGGCTGTGGATGCTGACGAGGGGGAGGATGATGAGGCGGATCCGGATACTGCTGCTGACGATGATGGTGATGCCGATGCTGATGATCATGATACTGATGCTGCGGCTGATGATGATGCTGCTGATGATGAGGCTGATGGTAGTGAGGATGATGTTGAAGATGATGAGGATGATGACGAGGATGATGATGCGGAGCAGAATGACGATAATGATAAATTCGATGCTGCTGCTGATGATGATGATGATGATGATGAGGACAATGATGATGATGATGATGATGATGATGATGATGATGATCATGATGTTGCTGCTGCGGCTGATGATGGTACCGATGATGAGGCTGATGGTAGTGAGGACGATGATGAGGATGATGATGATACTGACGAGGATGCTGATGCGGAGCAGGATGATGACGCTGATGCCAATGATGATGCCGGAGTTCTTGACGATGATGCTGCTTCTCATGATGGTGAGCAAGACGATCCTGGTTGTGCTGATGATGATGCTGATGCTGATGATGACTATGATGATGATGATGATGATGATGATGATGATGATGATGACGATATGATACATTGGATGCTGATGCTGATGATGATGGTGATAATGATTATGATGATGATGATGATGATGATGATCATGATGATCATGATGATGATGATGATGATGATGATGATGATGATGATGATGAGGACGTTGATGACAATGCTGATGATGTTGATGATGATGATGATTCTCTTACTGATGCTGCTGCTGCTTATGATGATGGGGATGTCGACGATAATGAGGATGATGAGGATGATGCTGCTTCTGCTGCTGTGGATGATGTGGATCAGGATGATGGTGACGATGATGATGATGACGATGATCATGATGATGATGGTGGTGATGATGTTGACGACGCCGATGATAACGATCCCTCTGTTCCCGTTGTTGATGTTGTTTCTGCTGATGATGGTGGTGATGGGTATCATGATGATGATGATGATGATGATGATGATGATGATGATGATGATGTGATGATGATGCTAATAGTCAGGATGATGATGATGATTATGATGCTGGTGATGATGACGATCATACT